GGGAGCGTGGGAATTAAATTGGTTTAGCTTTAATTGTCTTTATTTTTACAACGCTACTTTTTTCTTTACCAGGAATACCACCATCTTACCTCTATAACGATCATCCAGCGAATAGACAGAATACTCGTCGATTCACAATAAGGCAGTCGACGCTTGTATATAATACTCATTCACTATTGATATTAAGTGTCAAATACAAAACTACTACATTTGTAACATATGATTTATTTAACCATAATCAACAATCTTTTTAAGAAGTAAGTATGGCAAAGTAACTTTGCAAAAAGCTAGTAAGAAGACGTCTAATAAATCTCCGATCTGGCATCGGTTATTTGTAAGAAGTCATTTTGGTTTTCATCTTTACATGTATAGTTGTAAAGCCCACAGAAATGAATGGGTGGATGAAGTTTCATAATTATTTAGTAAATATTTGACGAAAATAACAATTATATTCAACAATTTTTATTGAGCTCGTGGCCTTTTTTATGAAAACTTATTGTGGAAAAGCAACAATAATTTGAAAAAATGGTAGAAGTGATAGCTATTTCGGAAATCACCACATTTCTCATCAGACTTCTTTCAGTAGGATTCGAACCGACGATCCCACTGAATCAGCCAGTTGCCTACGCACTGTGCTAAGTTCGCCTTGTTAATTCTTGTTGCTTATTTCCACTATTTCACTTGCTAAGCCAACTACAATCAAGCGCAGCTATTCCGCTGTAATTCACTTGATCGTGTGGTTGTTGGTTTTGTCGGTTTTTGTTAATATTTTCTATTATTAGAATGTTAACTTTTTATGTGTGCTCATCCTGAAGTTATTTGTTTTTGTTATTTTATGGCCTTATAACAATTATATTCAACAATTTTTTTATTGAGCTCGAGGCCGTTTTTTAATGAAAACTTTTTCAGAAGTGATAGCTATTTCGGAAATCACCACATTTCCTCATCAGACTTCTTTCAGCAGGATTCAAACCGACGATCCCACTGACTCAGCCAGTTGCCTACGCACTGTGCTAGGTTCGCCTTGTTAATTCTTGTTGCTTATTTCCACTATTTCACTTGCTAAGCCAACTACAATCAAGCGCAGCTATTCCGCTGCAATTCACTTGATCGTGTGGTTGTTGGTTTTGTTGGTTTTTTTTTTTTAATATTTTCTATTGTTAGAATGTTAAACTTTTTAGGTGTGCTCATCCTTAAGTTATTTGTTTTTGTTATTTTATGGCCTTATAAAAATTATATTCAACAATTTTTATTGAGCTCGAGGCCGTTTTTTAATGAAAACTTATTGTGGAAAAGCAACAATAATTTGAAAAAATGGTAGAAGTGATAGCTATTTCTGAAATCACCACATTTCCTCATCAGACTTCTTTCAGTAGGATTCGAACCGACGATCCCACTGACTCAGCCAGTTGCCTACGCACTGTGCTAAGTTGGACTTGTTAATTCTTTTTGCTTATTTCCACTATTTCACTTGCTAAGCCAACTACAATCAAGCACAGCTATTCCGCTGCAATTCACTTGATCGTGTGGTTGTTGGCTTTGTTGGTTTTTGTTAATATTTTCTATTATCCGAATGTTTAACTTTTTAGGTGTGCTCATCCTTTTTTAATGAAAACTTATTGTGGAAAAGCAACAATAATTTGAAAAAATTGTAGAAGTGATAGCTATTTCGGAAATCACCACATTTCCTTATCAGACTTCTTTCAGTAGGATTCGAACCGACGATCCCACTGGCTCAGCCAGTTGCCTACGCACTGTGCTAAGTCCGCCTTGTTAATTCTTGTTGCTTATTTCCACTATTTCACTTGCTAAGCCAACTACAATCAAGCGCAGCTATTCCGCTGCAATTCACTTGATCGTGTGGTTGCTGGTTTTGTTGGTTTTTGTTAATATTTTAAATTATTAGAATGTTTAACTTTTTAGGTGTGCTCATCCTTAAGTTATTTGTTTTTGTTATTTTATGGCCTTATAACAATTATATTCAACAATTTTTATTGAGCTCGAGGCCGTTTTCTTAATGAAAACTTATTGTGGAAAAGCAACAATAATTTGAAAAAAATGGTAGAAGTGATAGCTATTTCGGAAATCACCACATTTCCTTATCAGACTTCTTTCAGTAGGATTCGAACCGACGATCCCACTGACTCAGCCAGTTGCCTACGCACTGTGCTAAGTTCACCTTGTTAATTCTTGTTGCTTATTTCCACTATTTCACTTGCTAAGCCAACTACAATCAAGCGCAGCTATTCCGCTGCAATTCATTTTATCGTGTGGTTGTTGGTTTTGTTGGTTTTTGTTAATATTTTAAACTATTAGAATGTTTAACTTTTTAGGTGTGCTCATCCTTAAGTTATTTGTTTTTGTTATTTTATGGCCTTA